TGGCTAGTTTTTTACAGAATGTTTTTGGTGGGATTTCACTTCTTTTTGTAGAATGTGGCATAATTATTTAACGTCGTCGTCCTTTAATATTATCGTCATTTTTTTACGATATTAAACACATCTACCTTTAAAATGGACAACGAATCAGAATTATAACTAGAGAGGAAAAAAAATCTGGACACCGCGGTGCAGAAAATCGACGCTCAAAGTGCTAGCGCCATCTAGCGGTGAGCGGTACAGGCGAACACCACGGTGCCGGTGTGGCGCTAGTAGTATTGATTATTATGAATGTGGTGTTACTCCAGATCTTCGATTTTCCTAGTTTTGATAGTTTTCCCTTTATGTGGCCATTAAACCCTAACTCTGTACCAAATTTCAGCTCTCTGAGTTAATGGGAAGTACTAGTTCTATTTTGATGATCATCAGTGAGTGAGTGAGTGTCATAAATGCGAAACTTTGCTTTCGCTTAACTTCGGAACTAATTGACCTACAGACTTGAAATTTTGGATTTTAAGTGTGTGATTATAGCTTACTAGATGACGAAAATTTCTGCGTTCTGGTCTTATCTAAAGGTTCTCAAATAGAGGCCTGAAAATGCGGCGAAATGGTTCCAGTAAAGGATGGTACGGCAGTGTTTGCTTCGCGCTCGACTTGGCGGGGGCACTGCCGTGCCCCCAGATAGGACGATATGTTTACAAAGTTGTTCTACAAAGTAGAGTCCGTCCCTGGTAGAAAGTCCACGTTCAGTCGGCTAGTGCCAGGTGCAATCTGATAGTTCTCAGGCCCAAGGCGGCGCCGCTCGGATCCTGCGAGGGCAATCACTGTAATGACGATGGCTTCATTAAACAATTATTATGGAGTAAATATTTGTGCTGCTTATTAACTTTTAGAAGTTTTTCTTGTAGCTTGTCAATGAATATTTACGGTAATACTTGATCATAAGTCAACTGAGTGGTGGGTGAGTCCCACGCGAGTCAAATGTGAGTTAAGCACGACCTTATTAATTTACGGGATTGGACACTGGCGTGATTACCATTTGTTAATAAGAATGATAAGAATTACAAAGTATAATATAGAATACATAAAATTACCTCTGTAGACATTTTTCATAGCTTTCAAATTACATAAACGAAAATTATTGACTTTTAGGCTGGGTTGCACCATCTTACTTTAACTTTGACAAACGTCAAAATACTGTCAAACTCCATACAAAAAGCACCGGTTATCGTCATAGTTATCGTTAAAGTCAGGTGGTGCAACTCAGCCTTAGAATTTGTAGGATGTAAAAGATTTGCCGTCTTCAAGATCCATATTTAACTATAGGCTGTTAACTTGACACATTTTATTTGTTCTATAGCCTACATTTACCCCAATAAATACGTCTTATTATTTACACCATATAGGTTGAATGTGTCTAAAATAGGCCTTTACCCACGGAAAATACTTGTCCAATTAAACTTGAACAGAGGTAGAGACTCAAAACATGTTCCGTGTTGTGGCATAAGTATAAGGTATACCTTGTTAAAGATAACAGCAATATATCGTAATAACCGATTTGCACGTAGCTAGTTTGCATGAAATTATTATGAAAGACTTTTGCGAATAGAAAGAGCGTGAACTCATAATATAAGTAGAAACAGTGGGTACTTCTGATCTTGAAGTTTAAGATAAATAAATCGTATAATCGGGACTGCTCTCCTAACAATATCAGCAAAATATATTATTCGAGAGGGTCGAAAGTTACCCGAAGAGCACGGAAATCTTACTAATATACAGGGTGACTGGAACTGAACCCGCCATAGCTAATACGCGTAAAGAGGAGGTCATTTGCTAATTATTGAACCTTACTTTCCATGACTAAAGTTTTATAGTTTAGGAGATATGTCAATTTTTATACTTATTTCAGATTTTTCCGAAATTTGACCTAAAAACCGCTCAGATTTTTTTTCTCGCATGATTTTAACCGATTTTTTTATTTGATACTAATCTATACTTATAATAAATCTGTAGAGAGGTCAATTCTGTACATGAAATATATTTTCAAAATAACTATCAGGGGGTGATTAGTGATCGATACTGATGCCAAAAATGCAATCAGTAAAATTTTTGTCTGTCTGTCTGTCTGTCTGTCTGTCTGTCTGTCTGTCTGTCTGTATGTTCCTTATAGAAACAAAAACTACTTGACGGATTTTAACGAAACTTGGTACAATTATTTTTCATAATCCTGGGCAGGTTATAGGATACTTAGGAATTCCCACGGGAACGGGCATTAGCGGGAAAATCCTTTTGTATGAAAAATCTAAACCGCTTAAGTGAGACGCTTGAAATTTGGCAAGCAGGTACCTTAGTAAACTTAAAGCTTAGTTACAACAGGATATTGCAAAATTCCCACGGGAACTGGAATTAGCGGGAAATTCCTTTTGTATGTCTGACTCACTGACATACCCACGCACAGCCTAAACGGCTAAACGTAGGCACTTGAAATTTATAAGGGACGTAGCTTAGGTACCGTAGAGGTGCACTAAGAAAGGAATTCCCGAAATTCCCACAGGAACAGGAATTACCGGGAAAATCCTTTTGTATGAAAAATCTAAACCGCTTAAGTTAGACGCTTGAAATTTGGCATGCAGGTCCCTTAGTAAACTTAAAGCTTAGTTACAACAGGATATTGCGAAATTCCAACGGGAACGGGAGTTAGCGGGAAAAAACATTTGTATGAAACAAATCTAAACCGCGTAAGATAGATGAAGGAGGTAAAACGGGATCCACGCGTACGAAGTCGCGGGCGGCCGCTAGTATCGAATAAAACTTTAGTCAAATAAAAGAAATTTCAGATCCAGATAATGATTGAATAACTAGTTATGAGCCGCCAAAGTTCAACAAAAGTACAAACCACAATAAAAAATTCAAGTTCGAATTCGATTTAAAAAAAACTAATGGTAATAATGGATTGACAATGATCTTAAAAATATCTTTACCTTCTCTTCTTTCCAATGATATATCACACGTAGTAATTAGATATTGAAACTTATTAACAATTCAAAATTAGTATGGATAATTTTTGTATTATTACTCCATTTTCTTCCATAAACTTTGAATTTTTGACAAATTTCAATATTTAATTACAACGTGTGATATATCATTAGAAAGAAGAGAAGCTAGAGATATTTGTAAGATTATTGGCAATCCATTATCACCATTATTTTTTTAACAATCGAATTCTAAGTAGAATTTTTTATCGTGGTTTGTACTTTTGTTAGACTTTGGCGGTTCATAACTAGCTATTCAATCATTATGTGGTTCAGAAATTTATTTTATTTGGATAAAGACATATTTGATATTAATATCAAATAAAAAAAAACTGTTGAAATCACGCGACAAAAAAAAATGAAGCAGTTTTTAGGTCAAATTTCGGAAAAATCTGAAAAAAGTATAATAATTGGCATATCTCCTAAACTATAAAACTTTAGTCATAGAAAGTAAGGTTCAATAATTAGCAAATGACCTCCTCTATACGCGTATTAGCTATGGCGGGTTCAGTTCCAGTCACCCTGTATAAATGCGAAAGTTTGAATGTCTGGATGTTTTAATGATTTATTATTATGTATTATTTATTTTATTATTATTTTTTATAACCCAGAATAACATATTATAGGCTATAATTAATGACGATCTGTGACAAACTAAATTTCACGCGGGTGAAGCCGCGGGCTTTTGCCGAAAGTGCTTTTTTTAAGCCTATTTACAGAAATAAATGAGTTTTTAAAAGCTAGTACTTAATAAACGGACCATATCTTTCGGTTTGACTGATGGGGATGGGACGTCCACCTACAAGGTGGACCGACGACATCATAAAGGTAGCAGGAAGGCGCTGGACGCAGGCCGATACAAACCGGTCAACATGGAAAGCATTGGGGGAGGCCTATGTTCAGCAGTGGACGTCCTATGGCTAAAGTGATGATGATGATCTTTTTTTGATTTGGACCTACGACTGATCCAAATCAAAAAAGGAGATGGTCCTGAAAGTTCCCTAGTTTCACCTATGATACTTTTCTTTAAAGCTGATTTGAAAAAAAACGTGACTTATGGGATTGAACCTACCATTAATTTCTGTGGTGGTGCGTGTTTACCTAAACAGTTCCAGTTCCAGTTATCTGAGCGACGCACTTCCGCCCAAGTAGGAAGCTGCGGCCACGCCACGCAGGGCTACCCTCAACTACCACATAGGGATTTGTGAAACTATGTATCGCTTTTTTCAGTCCAAACATATAGAGGTTTGCTTTTCAAGCATTACTTAGCACCACTGAGCTGGGGTGGAGCGAATCTTGAATTGACTCTACAATATACGCCGTGTCCGGTTTCCTGTGCTTGTATTTTGGTATTTGTTTCAGAGCTAAATATACGAATAATATCTAACTGTATGTATTCTAAATATAATTAATAGTATTAAGCATTACTTTGCGAACATCCATAATTAGATATTAAAATAGATAAAATTCCAAATAATTGAATCTATTCAAAAGGTTTCTTTTGTAGATAGTAAATTTTAAGCCTCTATAGGTACGATGTTGATGATCTATTCAAGTACAGAAGTCCGTTGCCTAATCAGTCACTACATTATATTTACAAGCTTATCTTAATTTGGGCTAGCCAATTGGAGTGATAGCTATTTATTTATCTAATTTCATTGCGTAAAAGTGCTCTTTAAGACCATAAAGCCTATAGGATGGTGATGATCTATGTAGGTACATACGACTGTTATCTAGTCAACACATTATTATTCAAACTTATCTAGTTTTGGCTGAGAATTGGCGTGATAGTCATTTATTTAATTTGGAAACGTAATAAAAGTGCTATGTGAGCCCATTCAAATAAATGTATTTTATGTATTCCCACATCGCAGCCCTGCAAAGGACAAAGACCTAGAGCGGTCACTTCCCGCCTCTGGACGTAGGAAAGTGGTCTAGCTCCCATATAAACGCGTGAACTTGATACGCCAGGCCACTTTTCCACACGATACAGACTGGAGCACTTTTCCTTTTACATTTTCTCATTTGAATATAATGTGATATTTTAATGGTTCAACAATAATACAGACATGGCGAAGATTGAGATTCTGGTGAGTAGCTTTAAATTTACTAAGATTTTAGTTGAAATAACTACAAAGGTTTGATCTATTTTTTTATCTCATTTTCCATTATTCAGTTTTTATTACATATTTTATTTCCATCATAATAAACCCTACAAACTATGTGCATGGTTTTAATAAGTATTCAGTACCTTTATTATGAAGCGTTTAAAAATATTTATGAAGCTTAAAACGCATTTATTTCCCCCTGGCCTGGCCGCGTAGTTTATAACGCGTACTTTGCGGTTGCAAATTCGAATTCTGCTGTATGAAAATATTGTGTGATGAAGCATTTATATGTAGGTATTTATATTAGAATGAAAATGAAAATGAAAATGAAAATACTTTTTATTAAATAAACACTTTACAATTACAAGATATGTGCCGCTCTCGTATAAGGTTAACCTGTGTAACGAGAGTCAGGCTCCTCCTCAAAAAAACATAAGACTAAAATTTAGTGTTTAGATTAAATTTTATCTTTTAATTTAAAAAATAATTTTAATTTAAAATAGAATTTCAAACTTAGTCTAGACTCTAGCTATGGTCTAGAGTTGTACAAGCTGGAGCAGCTGATTCCTTTGCCGCGATTTGATAGGTTTCTAGTAATAGTGGTTTGTTAACAACATTCTCATTAACTGGTACGAAATCACTTGTTACACCTAACTTAAGTTATTTCGCATTCGCAGATCAGTGTTATTTGATAAATGGACCTTTCATCTTGTCTTTCAATTCGTCAGCATGACGTAAAGACTTTACGTAATGACGCTAACAGCTAACAAGCTTTGATCAATTGCTCTTCCAACGTTTGAGTTAACGTGATGGATTAGTTAAACGCTCGTTTGTTTTAACTTAACGTACAGGATGCTAGGCTCTAATCAAGTTTAGGATACCTGGAAATGATTTATTACTTGTTAAGTAAATAAATTACGAGATGATGCGGTGGTGCACAATCATCTTGAGATCAATATGGATTCTAAATTGAGTAAACATATGTCGACACCATCAGTTGTTGAATAAAGAATTATGAATTTTAAAGTTTCCTTTAATGTATGCTGATTGTTGCTTATTTTCCTATTTTTCTAATATTCTAGACGCGAAAGTTTCCAAGAATGGATGATTAGATATTTGAGAGTGTTTGACTCTATCTTGGTTAGTATTTGGTTGTACCTACTTATTGAAAGTAAATAGGTTTCCTTAGTATTTATTCATAATGCTCATAATGTGTTGATTACTGATAATTTTCCTGAGAAAAAAAAGTTTTTGAACTTCAAGACACTTTTTTCATTTGCGGGAAGTCAATATGTACGTATATGTATGTTTGTTACAGTTTTTCATTGTCTTTGCCGCTCTTGTGTGCGCAAGCGAGTCGGAAGAAGGTGATCAAAAGAAGAGAGGAGCAGGAAAACCCACCAGCCTAAACGCTATCCCTACCGGGGCGCAGAAACCAGAGTACACCTATAACATCTACTCCAGTCAACCCTCGCAGGGCCAGTCAACCACGTACCAGTCACAAGTACCAAACTCCTTCTACCCGAGCCAGAGTTCCCAATACTACTCCCCAAATACTCAAACAGAACAATCGCCGTATCAACAACCGCAGAATTATCTGATACCACCGACGACATCGTCACAATTCGTCCCACTAAACTTCATACCGAACCCTGGTTACCAAACGAAATATCAGCTAGTGCCGTCAAAGACAGCCAATGGTAACCTTCAGTTAATCCTTCAACAGCCTCAAGGCTACCAGCAGCAAGTGCTGCAATATCCCCAAACATTATTATCTCCAAGTCCAGGTCAGTTCCAACACCAGGGTCTCTTAAACCACATCCCTCAAGGCCATTACAATGTAGCCCCGAACTACCAACCTCTGCAGCTCGGGAACTCTTACTTCGGGCAACCTTCTATGCTGTTGTTAGCTCAACCCAACCCATACAACAATCTTGTTTACCCTAACAATGGCCAGGGGCTTTATAATTACTACCCGAATTCTCAAACTAAATATGCGTCATCGTACCCATCGTCTTACTCATCATCTCCGCAGACATCAGAGTACGAAAAATCACAGCCACCTGCCCAGCAGAGCATAGCTAAAGAAGACAATGAGATCGGAATACACAACAACGAGTACTCCTCCCCGAGTGATACTAGTTACAAGAACGCATACGCGACTAGTCGCAGCTCCTCGTACTCCAAACTATAGGAACGTCACTACTTAGCCATAATGTCACATTCATAGAATAGTGTTGCCATTGTACGTCATTAAACTTATTTATTACAAGACTGTCCATTAGTGTAAGTGGTTATTGTTGATGTTTATTGTTGTTAATAAATTATGCATGGGTTGAAATGGTGTTTTAATGTCGATGTATAATGTCGAACGCAACCATGTTATTATACATTTGATTCATGATTAATAGAGCTTCGTTATATGATTTAATTTAACAGGTCCACAATATTACACGTATTACTTGTGGTACGAGTAGGTATTAATAACCTTTCATTGATGGCTCAGTTTCAAATAATTGAAAATATCATATTTGACAGATAGGACTGATTGAAGATACTTATCATTTGAAAGACTGTTAAATGAAAGATATATACTCAACATCAAATAAACCGCACCTTCCGCGACGCGAACTTTAAAGATTTTTTTCTGACACAATCATGGTACCCCAACAATATTGGGGTTATTTGAAAGCCCAATAAATATCCTTAAAGAAAAACACATTTAATTTCTTAACAAATGATGAACATATACCATAAATGTGACTTGAAAAAAGACCTCACTTTGGGCTCACCTCTGGGATTAATTAGTCCAAATTTTATGATTATAAAACCAAATAATGATCACACGTGTCCTCTTTAACAGATGGATAGCGATTAATCCCAACTTAACAGTTTTATAGCCATAAAAGTTAGCTCAAGCGTAACTGCCTATTTTTTGAAGAAGTGATTCTGGATCCTTCTAAAGACACATTTTTGGGGTAAAAACCTTTCCTTTAATGAAATGAAGCTTAGAACTAGGCTTTTAAATGGTGCCAATATTGGTGGGAAGTGGGGATGCATACGTTTGAAAGTGCTTGTCGCGGGAGGTGCGATTTATTTGATGTCGAGTGTATCATCTGAGTTTAGAAACAGATTAGTAAGTTGTCTCTGAATCAAAGTTACCAGTCGATACTTAAAGGTGAGTATAGACTAAAGTATTTACTTGTAACAGAATAACGAGCTGCTCTATGTTATAGTATTTACCCTTTCACGAACCAAACGTCGTGCATTTTACCTGTATTGTACCATTCGTAAGAACGTTACATTACTTAGAAATGCTCGAGAAAATGCTCTAGTTTATACTCACCTTTAGGCGAATGTTCAAATTCAAATTTTTTATTGCATATGTTCGTTGAGATGAGAATCCAAATTCCACGGGGAAGAATGGCCCTCACAGTTTCTTCTGTACTGTGGTAAGAGGATCATGAATTGATGCTATCGTCTGCCCATCAGGCAGATGACCTGATAAAGGCGCAGTCATAGTATGCGGTTCGCCGTCTTGCACGCACTGGGAATCGATAGGTAGAGTTTAGTAAACTCATTTTATACTATGGTAATAGTAAAGGCCTTGTAATGAAAAAGGCCTAATAAAAAATAAAATAAAATGATATCTAAGGCTGGGTTGCACCATTTTACTTTACTTTAACAAACGTCAAAAAAAAAACTGTCCTCAATACAAAATACACTGGTTATCGTTAAAGTTAGGTGGTGCAACTCAGCCTTATTCTATTCTATGTAGTTCTAAATTTCAACTCCAATATTTTTAACTTATTTAACTGTAAAATACAAAACTATGCACATAAAAAAAGAAGCTTTCACTGAACATTAATAACGTACATTTTAATACAATAACTCCCGTCGGCAAAACTTACATCAATCTAACAAACAAACAATGTTCTGAACGGAATAGGCATTTGTATTTGCATACTAATGCTTTTCTCGTGAATGATTGCTTCATTCAATTACTCTCTCTAGATAATTCTAAGAGAATGTACTATTATTGTCTATGGGTCGAAATCCCGCCCAGTATTCCAACCGTAGTATTAATACCGAAAATTCTTAACAATAATATTACAATAATCGTCAGACCATATTTCGGGTGTTTGAATTCAAAGGCTGGGTTGCACCATCTTACTTTTACTTTGTCAAACGTCAAAAATCTGTCAAACTCCATACAAAAAGCACCGGTTATCGTTATACACTCGCGAGCAAAACTATGGAATCACTTACATGAAGTTGTTTCCACGCGATCTTGTGTACTAACGAATTTGTTAGTAACAAAAAAAGTGGCACCATTTTAAAGATTAAACTTTCACCTTTAAACTGATACCAAATTCATTTAAATCACACCGGTATTTAAAAAGATATTCCGGCTGATGTGAAGAAGTAAGGAAAAAGACATGTATCAACTGTTTGATACGTCGCGAGTTGCGGCCTACTTACCCCCTATAAAAACACGTGTTTTCGGATTTTTGCTTTCACACGTTGATCCATACATATCTCCGCTTTTTTTGACACTTTACCTGGGATTCCACACCTACAGAAGCAGCACAAATCGTTGCACTATTGCAAGAAGGGCTCAGCCAGCAAGCTGTCGCACGTCAACTCCACGTAAGCCAGTCCTGGGTTTCGAAAGTTTTAAGACGCTTTCGGGAGACTAGTGGCTTTATCCCGAGACCAAGTTCTGAACAGCGCCGGTGCATATCGCAGAGGGATGACCGTTTTTTCATGTCAACCTCTCTATGAAATCATCATTTGAGTGGTATCGACGTCCAGCAAGAGCTCAGAAATGTTCGTAGGATAGCTGTTAGCGTGTGGACAGATCGTCTAAGATATAAGCAATAGAATTTGACTCCAAAAAGGCCTGCCACAGGCTCGAAACTGACGGCAGGTCACCGACAAGCACGCTTTCAATTAACCGATGAATGCAGACTGTGTTTGCAGTGCAGCAGTTGAAGAGGTCGGGTCTATAGGCAGCCTGGGGAGCGATTTGTGCAGTGCTGGTTCGCTGAAACAGTGGCTTATGGGGGTGGCTTGCTCGACTTCCCATCGAGATGTGTACGAGCAAATTGAAAGCGTGCTTATCGGTGACCTGCCGTCAGTTTCGAGCCTGTGGCAGGCCTTTTTGGAGTCAAATTCTATTGCTTATATCTTAGACGAACTGTCCACATGCTAACAGCTATCCTACGAACATTTCTGAGCTCTTGCTGGACGTCGATACCAGTCAAATGACGATTTCATAGAGAGGTTGACATGAAAAAACGGTCATCCTTCTGCGATGTGCACTGGCGCTGTTCAGAACTTGGTCTCGGGATAAAGCCACTAGTCTCCCGAAAGCGTCTTAAAACTTTCGAAACCCAGGACTGACTTATGTGGAGCTGACATGCGACAGCCCGCTGGCTGAGCCCTGCTTGCAATAGTGCAAAGATTTGTGCTGTTTCTGAAGGTGTAGAATCCCAGGTAAAGTGTCAAAAGAAGCTGAGATGTGTATGGATCAACGTGTGAAAGCAAAAATCCGAAAACACGTGCTTTTATAGGGGGTAAATGGGTCGCAACTCGCGACGTATCAAACAGTTGATACATGTCTTTTTCCTTACTTCTTCACATCAGCCGCGATATCTTTTTAAATACTGGTGTGATTTAAATGAATTTGGTATCAATTTAAAGGTAAAAGTTTAATCTTTAAAATGGTGCCACTTTTTTTGTTACTAACAAATTCGTTAGTACACAAGATCGCGTGGAAACAACTTCATGTAAGTGATTCCATAGTTTTGCTCGCGAGTGTAGTTACGGTCAAAGTTAGGTGGTGCAACTCGGCTTAAGTTTGCGGGTTGAGTGCAACCAATAGTCATATTTTTTTACAAAGTACATGTTTCCACAAATCACAAATGAAAGCTTTCGTATGTCGGAGATTTCTCTATATTAAGATTTGAGATAGCATCACATAAGATCAAGCTATCTAGCCAGCGAATCTAAAACTTGTGCAATTTAACTCCGCACTATCTACTCCAGATTAAGTGTGGTTAGGGACATAATTTAGTGGAATCGCAAATATAAAATAGCTTTTGGTTTTAATGGCCACCTTAATAAGGCAATAAGCGCCGACTGTCACGTGGAAAAAGCGGCTGTGCCCAGTAATGTTGATGGATCACACGAGAATTCGTCCACTTGTGACGTAATCGTTGATATTTTTACAACTTTGTATTAGATATGTAAAAGTCAGCGATGCGTTTGTCACAGTGTATACGATTCTAGATAGTAACTCGCTTGCAATGGAAATGTACAGGAACGTGATTTTTGGAACTTTTCGTATACCTGTTTTGTCTTTTCGTATACTAACAAACAAAGTTGGTTAACTTATCTACGCAAATGATGATTGATATTAAATACCCTTATTACAGCAAATTTAAACCTGGGACAGACACTGGTTTAAAAATACTTTTCCATACTACATACCTATATGTCAGTTTAAGCCAGAGTCGAGTTCAACCAGGGCCTAAGTTTTTTTAATAAGGGGGCGTTAGTTTATAAATCTCACGCTGATGATGGATCCTGATGGCGTTTACTACGGTGATATACCAAATAGCCTACTTGTCTCTTGGCGACTATTTATAGGCTTCAGAATTCTGCTGGAGGCTGCCTTAAAGGGGCTTATGTTTGACGATGGCCGTATTTTGTCTCAACAACCTTCATCAGACTTGTATTACTTACGCCTCACGCACTGTGGCACGAAGCTCCAGTGAAAGGAAACAGCATGTAGTTAATTGCCTCGTATTATTTGTATCATTTGCGGGATGCGCCGGCGCAATCGTACGCACCTGCTACATACAGGGTGTTACAAACGACTGTGATAATTGCTCTTCTTTTATTGCATGCTTAATTGCATATACAGGGTGTCGTTATGGTGGAACTATAACTGTATTTAGTTATTTTTTTCTGACCCCACGGATGTCGTTATGTCGTTTCTATTCTATTCCATTCTATTTATTTTAAATATATTTTCGGTATTTAACGCTTAGCAACACAGTATGGATTAATTTTTATTTAAATTGCCGTAATAAATTGTCCACTGTGACTGTTATACTTAGGTACCTCACAGTGCAGTGTTTCAACTTCAAACCTCACAAATGTACCTACTTAACATTGAATTCCATAACATTGATAAAACATTTTACCCTGTATGCTCTTACTCTTATATTACTTTACTACGGCAATAGAGACCGCGTAATTAGTTGCGTAGTGCGGCTGTTTTTTTAATTGACTGCCAATCACTATCGGCCCAGCACTTCGAAACGGCAATTT